TTACTGGTAACTCATGTTTCAAGGGTAGCATTGGATAACTTCAGCTAAATTCTTCATTTTAGTTTCTTGAGATTGTGTTCGTAAATCTGTGTATATTTTTTGGCGTCACATTCATAGAAGAGTACGTAAACAAAGGTTACATGCTGGCATTTGTGATTCAGCTATGGAATCAAGGTAGCTCTGTTCTGACCTGACAGATTCCCTTCTTGCCATCACATATTTTTTAAATGTCAGCTCTTTAAATGCTACCCCCAGTTTTTATTGCAGGCATCTAAGAACTTCCTGTCGTGCTCCAAGCATCAAAGTCCAGAGAAATAGAACACCAACAGGCATGTGCTCGCCGTGGAAAAAAAAGAAAACTAAAGAAGATTTTGCTGTACGCTACGTTCTTGTGACATTGTCATTAGTTGTTGTCAAGGCAAGGGGCACAGAGTAGCAAGTAGTAGTTATTCTTTGTTGCTTAAAACTATATTTTAGAGGTGTGCAAATCAGGTGGGGATGCAAATCAATAGTCAATACAGGCAGTCCATGTCAATCTAATCCATGTTAATCTAATCCAATTCTATCCACATCCTGAGCAGCCTGGATGTGAACTTGATATATAGTGAACTTGATACTTCAGTGAGAGAGCATGACCGGGCTCCTGTGTCTTCCTTTTAGACTGAATGCCACGAGATAGCACTACTTCTAGGTTTCGTAGCAGCTTTGGCTGCGTTGTTGGACTATCGCACGCTCCTTCAAACTTTCCAGCAGCAGTTAATTTTAACTCGGGAGTTTGCTTCTGGTTCTTCCGTACATTAAATAGCCAACTTGCTCGCTGCCTGGCTCAGAGGCTTTATTTTGGCCAAATGTACTTCTTCATATTTACCGCACATGCTCAGAACATTCTGAGCATGTGCGGTATATATGTTTACTTATTCTATGTAGAGCGTCTGATTTAATTATTTTTTTTCACTCAAAGGTTTGTTTCCTGTGCACAGAGTTTTCAGGAAGACATGACGGTCATGGCATTTGCTTTTAAACATCATGGAAAACCTGGAAAGTCGGGGAATTTGGAAAAGTAAAAACTGGTAGACATCCTGTAAAAGAACTTCAGCAGCTTCTTGTGGTTATGTTCCTACTTTCATCGTTTTGTGCCTAGATTCGTGGATGTTGTGCACCCAGTGACAAGCTTGTTGTGAAAAGACAGCTCATTCAAGTGAACGCCTGAATGTTATGCCGCATTTTCCGAACTGAAGCTTCTACTGACATCAGAACTTATTTTCCGCCACTTAAATCCACCTGCTTCTACTGAAGACTGACGCAAGTGGAATTGGCATTGGAGGTGCACTTGTTCAGTGCCATAATAATGCAGAGCATGTAGTTACTTGTACAAGTTGACCTTTAAGCAAGGCTGAAAAGAATTGTACGGTGACAGAGCAAGAATGCATAGTGGCTGTATTCGCCATTCAGAAGTTCTCTTGCTACATCTGTAGCCATTCGTTCACGGTTGTGACAGACCATCATTCATTGTGTTGACTGGTTACTGTTAGAGACCCTTCTGGCCACTTTAGCAAGATGGGCTTTACGTGGCTAAAAAGTTATCTTGAGCATTTAGTATGTAAGTAAATTAACTTCAGCATTTAGTATATAAGTGAAGGCGTCATTCGAACTGCTGATTGCCTTTCTTGCCTACCAATGACCACGACGAAGGATAGTGCAGATACCTTCGACATGTGTTTTGCAGTAGTATGTCACACGTTTCTCCGACCCCAACATCTTCAAGCGGGAACAACTAAATGATGTATCTTTAGATCCTCTATTCGCTGATGCCCGCAGTCTCAAAAGTAGTGGTCCCTTTTGCCTTCGTGATGGACTGTTTTGCAAGGCTAGTTACTCAGCAAGTGGCACACGTTTTTTACTGGTGGCACCTGAAAGTCTTCGAAGTAACATTCTTCGTGCTATGCACGATGATCAAATATCAGGACACTTTGGCTTCATTCACACCTTACATTGAGCACAAAAATGTTTTCACTGGCCTCGAATAGCGAGATTCTATGAAGCAATACGACTCGGGCTGCGAAAAGTGTCAGCGTCACAAACAACTGACAAGTTTCCCGCGCGGCTTTCTTCACCCCGTAGTGCCGCCTACTACACCTTTGAAGCAGGTTGGCATCGACCTGTTGGACCTGTTCTCACTATAGTGGTGCAACAGCTGCATCGATTGTGCCAATTTGTTGAAATTGCGCCACGCTGCGCCAAATTGCCCAGCCAGCCTCAAAATATTTTTCAGGTTCGCTAATTTCGGCGAGAAATGCAGGCCACGTTGGCCACCTGCAGTTTGCGCCATCAAGCAAATTGCGCAGACCCTAAACTATAGTGCCTAGAATACACTTCAAATATTCTAAGGCACTATGGTTTCTAGGCACGCCCATCAGTTCGCTGACCGCAGCCAATACCTATCAGCGGGACGACAGAGCTTCAAGACAAAATACGTTGCTGTAGCCACCAGCACTTCACGGGAAATGTAAATTACCTAGCCTGAAAACGCTGCTATGCCTTGTTAAAAACTAAAGCTGGGAGTGTTTTCCTCTCCCGAACAAGCTCAACGTGCTACGAACGCCAGCATTGCCAGCGACCACGTTGATTGCCCTAGCAGTGCCACATCAAACACTTTTCTCTTGATGTTGTGTTGTCCTGGCAATAGATATTTGGTGCCATTGCCGGGCCAATGGGCACGCGCCGTTTTTACTTTACCTGATCGAACGCACCTTGCAAGGGAGCTGAAGCGGCAGCTAACCCCACTGTGAAAAAAAAAAAAAAAAAGGGTGGGAAGTGGGGTGGTGGTGTAACGGTTAGAAAATTTCTTGCCTTTGGTTCTAATGCTGCTTGAGCTACCTTGGCCGCAGTACACCGGTGCCCTGCGGAAAAGTGTAATGAGATTTAAATGAGGCTGTAAGTGCTAGTGAGACACTGCGCATTTTGCTCAGTTACTCATGCGTTTGTATGCCACACAATTCTGAGTACAAGTATATTCACTGATGTGTAAATAAGCTACTGGCAATCATTTGAAGTGTATGACATTTCTGCTTCCCTAAAATAATAAACTGCATTGTGCGCCAGTTTTCTTTTCAGCACACCTACTCCTCGGTTTTATGAATCTCCCAAATTTCAAGATTCGGGAGCTTGGCAGATCGATATTTAAATTCACTGAGTCTGTCAAATGATTTGACAGATGCAAGCGAATGCTAATATCGACTTTTATCATTGTTTGCTCAGCGGGGTCTTTGAAAATACTACTTATATAGAAATAGCAGTGCTCATGTTCACATTACACGATTAAGATGATGTTGAATTATACATACTTTTTTTCCTAAATGTAACCCTTCTTTTTTATACTGCTCCAAATTATGGTATTTCATGATAAAGAATGTGTTTTTTTTTCCTTGTAACGTGCTCATATTTGTAATTTAGTGCTCCAAAAGTAACATTTTGCTGCTCCACAAATTTCTCTAATGAGTATTTCAGCTGTTGCACCCCTGCACTATGCTTGAACAACAACGGCTGGATAACTAGTGTGCATTGATCACCTTCATCGATTGCCAAAACCACTGCAATGCCATCTTCACAGCTGATCGCGACGCTGCCTTTTTGTTGCGCTCTGTAGTTTCTTTTCATGGTCCACCTCGAGTAATCATTAGTGACCGTGGTTGCTAATTTATCGAGGATGCTGTGGAAGAATTGCTTCGCCTCTGTACTTCGCAGTTCCGACATTCAACACCATACCATCTCCAGAAAAACGGTCTTGTAGGACGTATGAACATGCTTCGCTATGTATGTCTTGTCTAATCACAAGAGCTGGAATGCAATGTTACCGTTTATTTTCTCTGCGTACAATAGAATGAAGCACTAGATTATGGACTTTACTCTTTTCTACAGTGCTCTACGCTCTAGTCACCGTACAGCTCCCTCAATACGATCCTTCTACTTAAGCTCCATGCCAATGACTCAGTGGCCGAAACGTGCTAGGCTGAAGAAGCCCACCAGAATTCGCACCTGCACACACTGGCATCATAAGGTCGCTCCAAGCAGCAGTTTGATCAACGCCATGGTGTGATCTTATTTGACAGAGGTGAATTTTTGTGGTTGTGGACCCCCCAATGCAAACGTGGTATTTGGCAAACGTGGTATATGCCAAAAGTTTTTACCACAGTATACTGGCTCTTTCATCATTGTAGTTTGCTTGAGTGACTTAACGTACGTTGTGGCACGCTTGATGACACCTTGTCATCGGTCAAATTAAATGCAGTTGGTGCATGTGGCTTGCCCAAGAGATATCATTCCTCCAGTGACTTGGACTTGTCTAGTAGGCCTCGTCTGTGAACCGGGGATTGCTACGGTATAAGCCGGGCATGTGGAAGAGGAAGACTAAGTTGTCGGGTGTCGCCTGTGGGCTTTATCTTAGCCTTCCATTGCCTGACCTCATTCTCATCCTGAAAATAAACACTGTCAAGCTTAATTCAAACGTAACAATATCATGTAAAGAATGCTCAGTTGATAATTTATAGTATATCAGGCTTTCAAGTAGTCCTGACAAATTACATGATATGCCTCAACTGGCGGCACTTGTCACTTTTTATTGTAGGAAAGTGCCTTTATTTATGGATCCTTACTAACGCTTTTATTTGCCACTTTAAAAAGCCACTTTGTTTTAGGCCAATTGTGTAACCTCATTATTCTATTATTTACTCCCTTTGTCAGTTATGTTCTTGCTGCTTAACGAAGACTGCGCTTAGTAGGCCTTAATACAGGCTCAAAAGATGAATAAAAAGGATGATCTCATTGGCTTGCAGAACATAGTACATTTGCCTTGTTGTAAAGCATTTTGATCTCTGCAACAGCAGTTCAAGCACAAAATCCTTGAGTGAAGGTGAAGTTTTTCAGGGCTCCTTGTATACTAGTTCTTATATAAACATGAGCACTAATTTTTTGAAACTGTCTTGGTTCTTCCAGTGGCCTAGTTCGAAAAGAAGCTGGCAGCATGTGTCAACATAGTTCCTGGCATTACATCAGTGTAAGTGGCTGGACTTTCTAGTTTTCCTTACTTTTTGCTAATGAAGATATGTTATCAGGTAGTAGCATATTTTTTTTTAACTCAGTAGTGGCAAGACTCATGAAAATGCCTCTTATATAAAAGGTGAGGCATAACAATGCATCAAGCAGGCCTTCAGTACATCATAAAAGAGTATGGATGACACATGTACTACTGTTATTGCTCGTTATAATAGCTCCTTTGACTCTCTCATTGCTCCTTGGGTAGGAAGGCGTTGACACTCCATGGTTTGTTTCTGCAAGAAATTTTGTATTTATAGTTTTATTTTATCTGCTATTTTTTAATTTGAGACTTGGTCTGCATCTGGACAGCACGTGCGTGCCTTGTTGGCTTTGTAGATAAGCTTAGTTGTTCAATAACTACTTTTTTTGCAATCTACTTGGTTCATTCTGATCTTGTAAATACACTGCATGACACAGTTAGTGTAAGGTGAGGAAAAGCATGTGTGAATGACTCATTATATTGTGTGCACATATTTAACGAGTTGAAAATCTGTAGATTAGGCATCAGCGGCAGAGTTTTCACTGAAACATTTTCAGCTTCTTGTTGTAATAATCTTCTGACAATTACAGTTCATGGCAGAGTTCTTGCTTTACTTTTGCAGATACGAGTGGAAAAGTGAAATTCAGACTGACTCTGAAGTCCTTATGGTAATTTTCTGTGCATATTTTGTAAATAGATCTTTTGCCCTCTACACATAGGAAAAAGTTGTAAATTTAAGGGCTCGTTTTCATGGTTAAACACAATATTAATGCGAAATAACAAACAACAATGCCAAGAGAAGTATAGAAAGATGTTATTAGAAGTAATTGTTATGTAAATGTGAAGAAGGAAAAGTGGACAAAAGATTACTTGCCACCTGCAGCATCTGAACCTGCGACCGAAGTTACCCAAGATTGGTGAAGTCTGAAGGCATTATTATCATAGCTCGCAGAAAGCTTTGTGTTGTTTTGTCTCCCGCACAAAAGCGGCGTTTCACGTAAGATGGTGTAAGGGTTCTGCTATTTTCGATAAGTTTGGGACAAAACGACAGTAGTACGCACAATATCCCAGAAAGTGGCAAACGTCGTATTTGTTCATTAGGGTTGGGAAGGCAGCAACATCCCGCGTTTTCTCGGGGGTCTGTGCGAATCCTATCGCTGCTTATGACATGGCCAAGAAATATCAGCTCCTCAGAGCTGAAATGGCATTTTTCAGGCTGAGTGACAGGCCAGCTGTTGGAAGTGAATCAAATACTGTCCAAAGACACTAAAGGTGCTGCTCGAAAGTCGCTGGAAAAACGACAATGTTATATAAATAGACAAGACACAATAGCCAGTTCGGAGTTGACAAAACTGTGTTCATCATTCGTTGAAAAGTTACGGGAGCAGAGTGCAGTCCGAAAGGAAGCACCTTGAATTCAACGTGCCTATCAGGAGTAATGAATGCAGTCTTTTTTAGGTCACACTCATCAACCTCAGTTTGTCAATAACCACTGCACAGATTTGTGGATGCAAAATACCTGGCGTTTTGAAGGTGGTCGAGTGAGTCATTGATGGGAGGAAGTGGATAGGTGTCTTTTTTGTCACATTGTTCAGTTTGCAATAATCAACACAGAAAAGCAATGTGCTGTCTTTCTTTTTGACCAACACAATGCCCATGTTCCTGTAGATGGCTGGATGATGTCGTCAGCAAGCACTTGTTGAACTTGGTAGTTAATGGTATCTTTTTTTCTGCGGGAAAAACGATAAGCATGTTGCTGAATAGGTCTTTTTAGGCTCGGGTATAATTCTGTGCTTCACAACGGGCGTCTGATTTTTGACGTCGTGGCAATGCAGTCACTGAAGGAAAGCAGGATGTAGCGAAGACTTTTTTTCTGTGAAGTCGATAGAACAGAATTCACATCAAGCTTAACCGGAAGTCTTGCTTGTCGTCGGGAGGACTGGCAAGAGAGTTGTGCAAGTGACAAGCTAGCTCTCAAGTTGTTGATTTCTTCGAAGTAAGTGACAACACTGCCTCGTGAAGTGATGTTATTCATGACTGAAATTCGTTCGTAGAGTTGTCTCAGGCTGTTTTGTCAGTTCCATGAGGCCGTGGGCAACGCATACTTGACGAGACAACAGCACGGAGGCATTGCCTTTCTCAACTTCGAAAGTCGTTCGGTTGATGTTGCTAACCATGTTAACCAGCACACTTAAACAGGGCGGTACAGTCACTGAACCATCGGATACATGCAACGCGATGGTGCCGGTATGGATCCTGCCTGTGCCAAGTCATCATTTATCCACTTTTTCTAGTTCATATTTACATTACAATTACATGTTATAACATCTCCCATACTTTCCTTGGCATCATTGTCTGTTAGTTCTCAATAATACCCTCTAACATTGTAGCTTTTAGGTTCATCGCAAGTATTATATATTTGTGTAGGCGCATACCAAGCATAACTCAGTTTTTTGCTGTAGTTTTTCTTTAGGTTGTGACATCTAGAATTGTCAGATAACTTTTCAGCTTAAGAAAACTGAAGTGTGTTTAGTGTTGTGAACAAAAAAAACAAAAACCGATGAACATTTTATTGAGTAATGCTGAGTACAAGAGCAACTGAACCGAGCTTAAAAATATGAGTTTTGCTGTACAAAGACAAATGATTATACAGTATAATATTAGAAGCCTTTACCAGTCAACATTTTCCTTCCACGTGAGCTATGATTTTGTCATTGCTAGCTCACAGTGAATTAGTAGGGTTGTAAGACAAGGCCATAGTAGTTTTTTTTTTGTCATCTGGTTTCAAAAGATTTTCTTGTTCAGCTGACTTACTGTGCTTGTCCCTTTTTTTTTCCTGTGAACGTTCTTGTGCTAAAATTTTGAAATAACAGAGTCCGTAGACTAGAGGGGGATGGGGAATAAATAACACCGCGTTGCATTTTTAGGGGTCTGCAAATAGTTGAACTATCTAGTATTTTCTAATAGTGCTTGCTATTTGATTTGATACGCACTGGAATTTTACAATTTAAAGTATTTGCACTTCCTGTAAATAAATGTAATGTTTTCATTTGCACTCACATCACAGCACTTCTAAAGTATGCCCATAAATTCAATTGTCTAGGCTTGTGCAAATATTCGAATGCTTTAAATATTCGAATGAATAGTATGGTATTTGAATTTGCTTCAATTCACATTTGAATTATTGAAAATTTCGAATAACTCGCAAGGAACGAATAAGTGCATATTAGTACGAATGTACCGCCTCTAAAAGTGGTTTCACTGCAGTGTAGGGGTGCTGAACCGTGAAAGCACCTATTCAGGAAAAATCCGCTTTACTCGAAGCTCCCCTTCAGATTTAAAGGGGCCTTGCAACACTTTTGGAGCATTGTTAGAAAACACTGCTGATAAGTAGTCTAGGCTACCGAGGACACGCAAGTCAAATAATATAGCGCAGCACGCAGCGTGCAATTCATAATAAATTCTAAAAGTCAGCTAAAAATTGCTCTCTTCTCTCGGCAAATTACTCCACAAGCTCAGAAAGCACATGTGGCGTATTTTCTTTCCCTGTGCCATCCCTTCCTGCTCTCAGCGCTTTCATTGGGATGAGAAGAGAGAATGCACTTGCAGTGTGCGAGAAATCTTTGCAACTCTGCGTGTACTGGACGGATTCTAGAAATATTTGCTGCGGTGAATTCACGAGCCAATAAATAAGCATTTTAGTGATTCTATTCCATGACTACTTGAAAAAGTCGCATGGCCCCTTAATATATTACTCTCAAGTCAATTCATTTTAATAAGCTTAAAAGCTAATTATGACAACCTACATGCTCTAAGTGTAATACATTTTAAAATGTTATGTATTCGAAGGGTTATGACTCGTATCCTACTGAAATTCAAATCCTGTTACTACTCAAAGTTCTTTAGACTTCCTTTGAACAAAATAAAAAATAGCATTTGAGTAGAGGCCCCAGTTCAATTTTCAAAAAATATTGTGCAGACTAGTTAGGTCATGATAATTATGCTCATTTTTCTTTATATGTCATATATACTATTCGAATTTGATTCAAAATATTCAACCAAAGTCACTATTCGCTTTGAATGTAAAGTTCACTATTCGCACAGTCTTATAATTCTTCTTGTGAACATCGGCCCACTGAAAAGAGTAACGGCCATCACTGCAGCTTGATGCTATTTTAGGCTTCCAAAGAATGCAGTGTATAAGTGCGAAGCACAGCACTTAAAAAAAAAAAAGAAGACGTCAGCACAACGCACCCTCATAGTTAGTGACATTTAATGTTCTGATAGTTTTCTTTCGTGCACTGATTTCTAATGTACAAATTTTTTTGCTAGTATATTATATAGCTTTTATGTATATTAAAGGTATAGTGTGCAGATTTTTCCTCAGCTGAGAGAATTGCAATGTAAACCAGCATGTCACGATAATTTGGAATCACAGTGAAGGAAAGCAAAAATGAATGTTCTATACCTATTTGAACATAACTTGCGGTGTGATGAATACTCCCATTGGAACCTTAGCGTGTGGTTGGCTCACCCGCTGCTGCCACTGGATGCGCTGTTGCAAGTGGGATTCCCAGCCACAGCAGCTGTATTTCTACATACGGACGGACGTGCATTTTACTAATATGTTGTTTGGAATCTTTCATTCAGATGATCAAGTCCCGGTCATCGCGGCTAGATGAAATGACAAAATTTGTTCGGTGAGTCAACTGAGATTCTTTTGGCCACAGTTTGGCACTTCACCATCGTGCTCGAGACTAACTTGACAGGAAATGTTTGGTTCTGTGCACTGGGTTTTCTGCACAAGTGCTATATCATTATGCAGTGATGGTCCAATTGCCCAATTTCGCTACAATTCCATGCTTCTGCACCTTGTTGCACGCATTCAAGTAAAGCTGACGGCAACTGCAATAAAGTTGACTAATCCACATTTTTTAAGCCATCGAACTGTTTTCTGCCCAAAAATATTTGAGTCACAACAAACACTACTAGAGCTTTTCCATAATGCCGTCGATGCCCTCTACTGAATTCATTTCTGCGGCGTGCTTTTCGTAATATTCAGCCTAGCGAAAGTTTCTGCATCTCTGTGTGTGTCTCCGATGTTGAAAGTTTAGAATATCGTCAACAATCTCTCATATTTGTGAGGAAACTGGTGATAACAGGTATGGAAAAGTTCTTATTTTTTTCGCTCACGAGTCAGTTTACCTTCTGTTATGTAGCCACCGCGGCCAAGCGGCAATAGCTAGGTATCGACACTGTCTGCTATCTTCACGCGAATGAAAATGTGGCCTTGTGAAAGTTTGATATTTCTAAAGAAAAAAAAGTTGGTAAGTGCCACCTAATTGCATTGCGCAATATTCCTCTGAATGCCTATCATAAAGCTAAACCTAAATACCCTCTTGAGCACCTCTGGCATGATGTGGTGCAGCTGCTACTCGCGCATGTCTGAGCGATCATCGCGCGTCTTCATTGGGAAACTGACGTAACTCGGTGAAAAGCCACCGTAGACGCTAGGCCATGCAGTCAGCCACAAATAAAAAAAACAAGTGCTCTCTGCCGTGGCCTAAACGCCATTAAAATAATCTATATTGCCATCAATAAACAAAAAAAAAGCTGTTTACCGCAAGCAAAGCATTAAATACAGTAGAAAAAAATTTTAACATTATGCTAAGTGAGGCTGGTAGCTATCTGTTTTGTATCCAATATCTTGTTGTAACTAGAGAATGCACTGATGTAGGAGAATACAGTCGCTCTATGAAAAGGTGCTCTTTTCACACAGTGTTTTCGTGTTGAGAGCGCAGCGAGTGGACTGCTGATGCTGGTTGAGTTAGTAGGCGCGCTAGTGACCGCAGCCTTAGAATCAAAATTCACAGTTCCTCCAGCGCGACCTCTGCCCCCTCCGTGCATTCCTTTATGCTCGTTAGAGGTGGCAGGGGGTGCTTCCTCTGCTTGAGCATTAGAAGGCCGATCTAACACATGGGGGGATGATATTGCATGCACCCTCCTAGTGACGGAGATAGGCCGGCTCGCTTGACCTCTGCTTCAGCCGCGTTCATCGCTGCCATTCCCGCGAGTTCACCCTCACCCGTGGGTAAAACATACGATGCGCATGGGCATGTCAGCTTGGACTTATTCAAAACATGGCGGCGACGCTGGCAGCAAAAACCAATCGAGAGTGTCCATGTAATTGCTAACGCAATAAAAGGTCAAAGAGATAGTCTAGGTTGCAAGTCATTCTGACTCGTTTCCTCCGAGGCCACAGTTTGTGTATAACGCAGGCACTGAACGGTGCTGCCATGGGGATTTCCCACTGTTCACGGAGCACCTAGAGAGCTGTGCAGGTGCAGTGGCTTTGTTAAGTCTAAATTGTAAAGCAATACTGTAAATTATATGCAGTCCTGTTAGTCCTGGGCACTTGCTAAACCATACATCATCCTTCCCAGCCAAACTCAGTCTTAGGACCCTCGTCAACGGTGGATATGAATCAGGGGGTATTGATTTTGGGAAAGAGGAGGTTTTGGGCCGCTCCCGCCCTTCAAAAAAATATACTGTAGCACTCTTCCCACTTAATAATGTGGGGGTTGTCCTGTATCATGTGTCCTGTTTGTGGAATGCCATAGTTATTCCCCGACCGTGTGATAGCATACCCACCAATCACATCTTGACAATATGTTAAGGTGAAAAATCCATCAACATAGGGTGTCACTGTGGAAGCCAATGTTCGACTGGCGAACTTGTCTACTTTGAAGAAGAGCATCCCTCCCATTTATGTTTGGATTGTCCACTGACCCCACCCCCTTCACACCAGTTTACTTTGTACCAGTTATATTTTTTGAAGACATTTTCTTGATATTTGGAAAATCGTTAGTAAGTTCTCCAACCGAAGTTCTTGAAAGTTAAAGGAGAATTCCATGCAGTGCTCACACCTCTAAAAATTATTGAGTATGACAGAACGTCATCCCGAGCGAATTGTGATTAATAAAGGCGCTGTATACGCAGGCACTTTTAAACAGTATTTTCTTAGTTGCAACGAATTTTTTTGTCTTTTTTCTTCAATTGTTAAACTGCTGGTTTCTGGTTAGGACTTCTTTTTTTTTGGAATGACCTTATGACACTTGTCATTCGCATAAACCATATGTGCATGCTTGCCTTGTCACTAATGCTTCATTTCAACACATATCCTGTGCTGTGCACTGAAGCCAGGATGTGACACTTTTTCATGCTAAGACCTTGACTAATGGATGCTCTCTGGATGTTAGCCTTGGCTCCTTGTAGACTAATAAGGTCGTTCACCGAAAATTTATACATATTCTACTCCAAGTTATTCCAATTTCTGTTTTGTCTGCTCCAAAGCTGCTTCAAAACACACTTCTCCAGGTCCAATTGTACTCCAAAATGGACTTTTCTCTGCTCCATCAAATTGCTTCATATCTTAAACTGGCTGGAACACCACTGCATTATATGAAAAACCTAGTGCACATAGCTTTTGTTTAGCATTGTGTTGTATCATAGTCAGATGCAATGTCCTTCAACCCCTTAAACCTGACTATTCAGAAGAGGAATGCTAATAATATAGCAGTTGCTATATTATTAGTAGGATTCATGTAGGAAGGCAGAAAAGTTGTTGCTAGCTGTGTTGACTCATGTCATTTAGTGTTCTTTGAGGATTCAGTTAATGCATTATCTTATTATTGTGTCATGTTAAATTAAACCCAACCAGCTCCCCCTCTTTGCTGTGACTTTCTGACTAGGTTGGCTTGTCCTTTGTGTGAGTTCATGTGAAACAATGGTCTGAAGTGCCAGATTATCTAGTCCTGTGATTTATTACGCTGCTATGGGAAATGGCTCATAGCCCAGCTCAGCTGGCATAGCTCTCCTGGCACATCGGATGCCAGCACCAAACTTAGTTATTAATATGTTGATGATGCAAATACAGTTGAACCTGGATATAACGAAATTGATAAATTCTCGTAAAAATTCTTTATAAAGACAATTTTGTTATATGCAGGTTCGGTACGAAAATTTGAAAGATAAATGCGCAAAATAAACAAAAGGAGGGTTGAAGGCAGAGCTAACCCAAAACACCTATTTTACAGTAAAAAACTGCATTATTATTGTGATACTGATTATATGGACACTCTCGGCGGGTGTTTGTCGTTGCCGCCATGTTCTGTAACAAGTCCAAATTGATAATACATATGCCCCCGTGCATCGTAACTTTCACGAGCAGGTGAAAGTGCGCGAGTGCTGCTGAAGCAGAGAGCAAATCAGTCAGCCCATTCCTATCGCCTGAAAAGTGCATATCATCTCCCGCGTGTTGTTAAAACTGCCGTCAAATGCTCTAACAGAAAGTAAACCACCCTTCTTGAACGAGCATGAAACAACGTGGGGAAGGAGAGGGGTAATCACTCGAGTAGCAATACCAAACTTGGATTTTTAAGGGCGGTCGCGATCGCTGGCGTGCTTGCTATCTCGGTGAGTACCGTATATACTCGCATAATGATCGCACTTTTTTTTTTCAAAAAAATTGACTGCAACTTCGGGATGAGATCATTACGCGTGGTAAATTTTCCGTGAAAAATTAATCTGAGCATTGAAAACCCCAAAAAGTCGCTAATCAGAATTTTGACGATAACTATCATGAACATAACCAAAAATAAAAGTGAATTAAGGTTTACCTTTGTAATAAAATGCTCGCATTACGCAGGAGCTACATGCATAGCACACTGCCCCTGTATTTTTTACTTCTCTGACCCCCTAATGTTCATGCATACTCCGAAGCGTCACTGGTGTCAGTGTTGTCGCCGCGCGATTCCCTGTTGGATCCGGCAGTGTCTTCACTGTCCCACAGATGGTCATCTTCCGTTCCGTCAAGCGCGTTGGAAATGCCAGTCTTTTTGAAGTTCTTGACGACCACCTCGTCGGAAATGGTAATCCACACTTCGAGAATCCATGAGCAGAGGACTTCTACAGATGGTCTCCTGATTTTGCCACTTGGCATGAAATCGTGGTTGCTCGCCGCCATCCACTCTGCGTACAGTCTTCGGACGTTGTCCTTGAACGGTTTGTTCAGTGACACGTCCAGAGGCTGTAGCAGCGAAGTTAAACCCCCAGGGATCACTGTGATTTCCGTGCGCCACTCCTTCAGCTTGGTACGGACAATGTCAACGAGATGGTTTCGAAAGCTGTCCAGCACAAGAAGTGAAGGAAGCAGAAGTGCTCCTGCTCTTCGCCCCCAAACCGTCTTGATCCAATCGGCCATGAGGTCTGCCGTCATCCACCCTTTCACTTGAGCATGGATGTGGATGCCACGGGGAAAGTTTCCTTTCGGAATTGTTTTCCGTTTCAGAATAACATACGGCGGCAGCTTCTGCCCATTTGCCGTCACTGCGAGCATCACGGTGCATCGCTGCTTCTCTGCACCACACGTTTTCACGAGGACGCTTTGAGCACCTTTCTCGTTCACAGTAGTACTTCGAGGCATGTCGAACATCAACGGCATTTGGTCGGCATTGCCTATCTGTGATAGCAGGAAGCCGTTCTTCTGGCGTATTCTCGTGACGAACCTGTGGAAATCGATTACCTTGTCTTCGTATGCGGATGGAAGTCGCTGGCACAACGACGTCCGCCGCCTCAGCAACAGTGCATTCCGCCGCATGAAGCGTGTCGTCCAGCTAGAACTGGCGCGGAAGTCCTTTGT